GGGGGGGGAGTGTCCCTTTGTGCCCCCCATATCCACCCCCAGGAGGGCAGGTCCCAGATGGTGGAGGGAGGGTGGGGGCTGGACGGCTGGGTTTGTTCCTAGGGTGGGGTCCAGACTTTGACCCCCCCGGATGCGGGGTAGTGGTGGTGGCGGGGGGGGGGACGGACGACGACACCCTGCCCGAGGCGGCAACATCTCGGACTCTGCCCCGTGCCAGGCAGACCCAGGCGTGTGGGTGTCGGGTGGGGGCGGGAGGGGCCTGGATGTGCTGGGGGGGAACATTGACCTCGGTCCTCAACCCCCCCCAGCACCCTTGGTGGGTCCCCAGCTCCATCGTAGCACCCTGGGGTCCCCATCACTGCTCCTGGGGGATATTGGGACCCCCATCCCTATTGTAACGCCCTTGGGACCCCCTCCCAGACCCACGGCAGCCCCCCTGGGTCCCGTCCCTCCCCATGCTGCCCAAAGATGAGGAAGGACAGGGGGACGTGGGGACAGCCAGATTTATTGCGGGGAGGCCGCGGTGCCCCTACAGCTTGGAGAAGGGAATGTCCTCGGGACCCTTCTTCTCCATCGCCGCCTGCACCGACTTGAGGATGTCCTCGGTCTGCAGCATGCTCATGTTCCAGGTGGCCTGGGGACGGGGACAGGGGTAGGATGGGGATTGGGACACCCCCGGGGATGGGGGCGAGAGACCCCGGGGGGTCCAAGACGTCCCTTGGGGACAAAAACAGGCAACAGGAATGGCAACAGCGCGGAGACGGGGATGTCGTCACGGTCAGGGAAGAGGGACAGGGATGATGAGGGAGGGAGCATGGCTTTTTAGGGCTAGGGGGGGTCCCAGTGGGAGGGGAGGGGGCCGCTCACCACATAACGGAGGCCCTCGGAGACGGGGTGGTCCCGCGAGTAGACCAGGTTCACCTTGGTGCCCTGCACGGCCACGGGGCTCCGAGCCGCGATGGTGGCAGCCATTTCCAAGGCTCCCTGCAGCAGCATCTCCTTGTCGGCAAAAACCCGGCTGCAGGCGAGAGAGGGGCTGCCGGTGGGGACGGGCACCCCGAGGGGGTCCCCGTGGCACTGGGGACAGCCCCAGGGATGGGGTCACCTCCTGGCGGGGGGGCGGGGCTGCAGTACCTCACCAAACCGGAGCTCTGCGCTTC